TATCTCCCCTTGCTCCATCTTACTGGCTCTTCGGATCGCCTACTATTCTCTTTTTACTTGGGGTGGGGGTCATACTAAAGTAAATATTTATCCATTCTAGGATGCCACTACATGTCTTCTAATATTTTTGAACGTTCTAGTATTCATATCTGACTGTACTATTCTAGAATACACCATCTGGTATGCACGATCTAATAGGGCCTCAAATAGGGCCACGTCGTCAAGAATTCTTTCTCTACTAACTCCCTTAACTGCTGCTGTATTAGCCCTCTGGCTAGCTATAATTTTTCTAATTGCTAAGCATCTCTATAATTAGCAAACATAAGTCTTGGCTCAAACTCTTATGACTCAGCTCTATAGCACGATGTGGATTTGAAAGAAGGGTAACAGACTCCTAAATGCCTTTTAACTTCCTGTTATATAATATGGTGCACATCACATCTATAGACAATGCTCTACTAGACGGCTTGTAGACTCTCTAGGACATAACTGCTGTAATACCAAGTTTGTCACGCCCCAAACCTTAAGAGGCATGGCCGGCACCCAGTGCCATACTCGGCCCGAGCATACCACTCTGTAACTATGAACTCTGGAGGGGTAGCCCTCAACTTAGGCTGATGAGGCCATATTATGAATCATCTGAAAATAACGTCTACAGCCAGCAATACCAAACTAAACATCTACATAGGGCTCGTAAAGCCACAATACTGATATAAAAAATGTACAGTACTCGTCTACAAGCCTCTAAGGATAACTGAACTGTATCATAGATGGGACAAGGCCTCGACCTACCCATCAAACCTGTATATATAAAATGGATTCCAAGGTATAGACCTGGTAACTTCGAGGAAGTGGAGCTTACCAACCAAGTTGATGTTTGACTTTTTCTACTAGGAAGGTCTATCCAGTTGTCTATCAGGACCTGCAGGCATAAAATGCAGCGTCCCCGGCAAAAAAGACGTCAGTATGAAATAATATACCGAGTATGTAAGGCAACAGAATAACTAAAAGCTAAAACTGAACTGAAAATATAATAACTAAAAGTACCTGGGAGTCAAATATAATTTGAAAATATGCTTACTTACTGATACTGACTTGTGTCTCTCAATATAGTAAGTAAAATAGCTGCCCGGCCCTATAAGGCTTGGTATGTGTAACTGCTCTACCATAGTAGGCTCGCTCATAGGCGCTCGGCCATACTAGGCTCTGTATCCCGGCCATTCTGGCCTCACTCATAGGCGCTCGGCCATAGTAGGCTCGATATAACTTATCATCTGATCATAGGTTTCCCAATAGGGGCCTGCCCACCGATTATAGCTCGGTGGTGGTGAAAATACTGTAATACTGTATATATATAGACTCTCTGATCACTTGGCTGAAAGAAGACAAAACTAAACTCAATATGATGTCCCGATAAGGGAGAAGACTGTAACTTATGAGACTAGGATAATGTACATAAATTCAAGAATAGGAACTTCTCTTTATGCCTCGTTATCAAACGCATGTAGTTACGGGATCACGCCAAAATGAAGGAAAGATTTAGCCTTAATATACCTTATCACAATCTTCCAATAACCAAGTTGAAGTTCTCTGTGCACATTAATCACAACAATGATAATAATACTATCATTAAGTTACGAAAGGTACAACTATCGCACAACGAACGACAAGATTATTTTGTATTAAAACGGGCAGCATCTTCCCTATAATCCTTACTTCCTCCAAATTCAAGATAACACCAACAACACAAGAACACAAAAATAACAACATATATACAATATTTTCCAAAAATGTTATAATGAAGGACCAGACCACCACCATGCATTCATGTGGTGTTCATCCACGCCCTTCCTCCTCCAAAACTCCATAAAATAGTAGTAAAACATGCAACCCAATAGCAACACAAAATAGTCCACAAAATAGTCCGCTACAAGTGAATATCTCAAACCCACGGCTTCCGATCAACGCCGGTGAGTTCTTACAATTATAGAAGGAATTTCCACACATATCCAGCGGACTAAAACATATGAAAGAGAGCAGTAAACGTAAGTTATTTGTTGAATACCTCAGCTCCTATCTTGGTTCTTCAAACACAAGGTTTTTCCTCCAACTAGAACTTGAAAAGGAGAGAAATTCAATTAGGGTTTGTGTTCAATTTTTGAGAGGATGTTTGCAGGGGTTTAGGTCTGGTTATTGTGCCCTCTTATTATTATATTATATGAATGAGGTAGGATGTTAAAAGGTCTCTTTGGACGGCCCGAACTCGCCCACTTTTGGACTCTCATTTAAGCAAGTAGGTGACACACCTACTTGTCACCTAGCAGTCTGTGCAGTTGCGTGAAAACGCATATATCTCTCTGCTCTGATGTTGTATTGACAAACGGTTTAATGCGTCAGAAAATAGACTCATAGATATTCAATTTGATGGGTGAAAAACCCCATAACTCTAAGTATATTGGGAGAAAATCGCAGTTACATTTGACCCAAATTTCAGTAAAATCTATGAACGTAACTTGTGATGACTTTCATCGATTTTCGTTCCACAACTCGCTTGACCTCAAAACATAACACACGACTATCATACAATAAAATAAATCATAACATAAACTCCTTATCATGTTAAGCACCCTAGTCGCACACCAAAAGTACATGTTATAACAATCCCAACTTGTCGACTTTCGGCGAAACATTATTTTCTTCAATTCCTTAGTTTCTAAACCTTCCAACCCTCTTTGTACTTATTTTTCACAAATCTTCAATATATGTAACATCCGAGGTAGCATGATAACTTACTTTATATATTTCCAAAGATGATCTCATTTTACATTAGTTTACTTAAGACGCACTTTTACGTACGAAAACATTGGGTGTAACATCATTCTCTCCTTTGGAACATTCGTCCTCGAATGTCGGCTGATGCACTTATCAGTCTCATAAACCATAGCTGTTACGAATATTTAATACTTTCCTTGCCATCTAGGCAACTGTTCTGTGAATAAATCCGAAGGTTAGGGCATTTCCTCCTTTAGGCCTCTTTCTCACACCACGACTTGTTGTCGGAATTCTTCTAACCTCGTAACTGTTGCGACCTTATGTCATGCAGCATGTACGACTTTGTCCTTGTATATACGCCTATGCGACTCTTCTGTCCTTTTTCCTCCATCTTTTAGCCAATCTCTAGGCCTCACTTTGGGAACATATACAGAACTATGACAAGTTCTATTCATAACTTTGTACTGTACCTGTTATATACGTCATTCCAAGTGGTTGCAGAAAATTCCTACATACTTTCTTTCAATTTTCTTGTGGCTTCTATACTTTTCTTATTCAGATTACTTGCAAACACGATAGATGTCAAGTTATCAGGTACACGCGGTAACATCATGCTATCCCGCTGGAATCTATCTACAAATTCCCTAAGCAATTCCGTGTTTTCCTACTTTGATTTGAATATAACTTCTATTCTTTTTTCTACTTTTTGGGCTCCCGAATTTGCTTATATAAATGAATCTGCAAGCTCAGCAAAAGAATCAATAAAATTTTCAGTTAAGAGTGAATACCACGTTAATGCTCCCTTTGTGAGGGTTTCGCCACTTTTTTTCACCTAAACTGATTCAATTTCCTTCTTGGTTAAGTCGTTGCGTTTAACTCCTATGGTAAATGTGGTAACATGGTCACATGGGCTAGTAGTCCCATCATATTTAAGAATATCAGGCATTTTATACTTTTTGGGAATTGATAACGGTGCTACGCTCGACTTCCAGGGTTGTTTAGAATATTTGTCAATATCCACTGCTTTGATCACGGGTGGTACTCCAGGTATCTGTTCTATCCACTCATTTTGTTCCTTGAGTTGTTGCTGCAAGTTTAGTACCAGACTTTACAAATTAGAATTATTTGTTGTACCTGACCCTCTGGCTCTAGAATCGTTTGGAATTTCTCCACTTTCTAAGTTTTCAAGCCCTAAACGAGGGTTTCCCAGAGTTGTATTTACTGGCGGAGGATTCTGCACAACATTGGGCAATCCATTTGCAAAAGCACACAAAGCTTCACTAACGTATTGAGCAATCATCTACCTCAAGTTATCCTGCTCATTTGTTTGCTCATCTGCTCGTTGTCCAGCTTTACGAGTAGTTGATCTTTTAGGTGAATTGTCTCATGATCGTTGTGGAGTCAATGTGGGTGTATGGTCTGGTGGAGTCCCACCTTGTTGTGTTCCATTAACTCTTTCATCCACCTAAAATTTTTTGGCAGGTTACTAGAATTCCCGGTAACAGAACCAATTTGTTTAACCAAAAAATAGATTTTGTGGTCAAATTCAATATTAAAATAAATCAGGTTTCTAATAACCAAGTTTACTTCACTTTTTCCAAAAACAAAAAAGTAAAAAGTAATTGAAATTCAATCTACGTGCAGTGCCGACAGATCTAGGGTTCCCAGCGGGATCCATCTGTGTGTCGGCGAGCTAGCTACTGTACAGGTAGATTTTAAGCCAAAGATATCCTGGTGGAAGTCGCCTCTTCAGAAGCGCCTTGTCCCACAACGTTCCAGCCGGTTCCGACGAGCAACAGTCACTTTGGTCAACTTTCCGATGATCTTTTTCGGCGATTGTCATTGAAGAAGTGGCAGCAAAGGCTGCACCAAGTTGAATATCCAGGTTCTACTCTCGGGAGTTGGTACCTCCCGCCTTCCTGACTATCTTCTTTGTATTAGTTAAATTATTGCCTTTTTAGTTCACATTAGTGTAATCATAATATTTGCGTGTCTGTAGTTACAAATTATTTTCTTCTAGTTTGGTCCGTTGCCTATTTTGGGCTAGCAATTTTCCTTAGTCTGCCATAGGTATTGTGGCTGAGCTCTGGGATGGTAGAGTAAGGTCATGTCCTCAGGTGGGGAGTGGGGTGGGGAAGGGTTCAGGGGGTGGGACGGGAGGCAAGGGGAGTAAGGGGAACAAGGGAGCCACTAGGTTGAGAATTGGGTCATGGAACATAGGAACACTGATGGGTAAGTCTACAAAGTTGGCGAAGATTCACCAGAGGAGGAAGGTTAATACAGCTTGTGTCCAGCAGACTAGGTGGGTAGGTTTGAGGGCGAGGGATGCAGACGGGTATAAGTTGTGGTACGCTGGAGTTATGAATGGTAAGAATGGAGTGGGTATTTTGCTGGGCAGCGATCTTCGAGAGTCTGTGCTAGAGGTCAGGCGGGAGAGTGATAGATTAATGACTATTAAGCTAGTGATTAGGGAGTGCACTCTAAATATAGTTAGCGCTTAAGCGCCGCAGGTGGGCTTGGATGAGGAGGTTAAAAGGCGCTTCTTGGAAGGGTGGGATGAGATTGTGCGTAGTATCCCGCCCGCCAAGAGGTTATTTATAGGAGGGGATTTTAATGGTCATATTGGGTCGACTGCTGATAGCCATGGCGAGGTGCACGGCGGCTTCACCTTTGGGGTTAGGAACGGAGGAGGCACTTCGCTGTTGGATTTTGCTAAGGCATTTGAGCTGGTGATTGCAAACTCTAGTTTTCCAAAGAGGGAGAAGCATTTGGTTACTTTCCAAAGTACGGTGGCGAGGACTCAGATTGATTACATCCTCCTCAAGAGGTGTGATAGAGGATTTTGTAAGGAGTGCAAGGTTATCCCGTGGGAGATCCTCGCGATGCAGCATAGTCTCTTGGTGATAGACGCCGGTATCATGCTAAAGAGGAAGAAGAGGTCGGCACGAGGACGACCAACGATCAGGTGGGGAGCCTTGACTAAGGATAAATCTCAATAGTTGGAGGGGAGGTTATCAACTTTGGGAAACTGGAGGAGTAGTGGGGGCGCGAGCGCTATGTGGACGACGACGGCGAACTGTATAAGAGAGGTGGTGAAAGAGGTGTTAGGGGTCTCGAAGGGTTACCCTAACAGGTACAAAGACGACTGTGGTGGAATAAAGTGGTCCAAGGTAAAGTGAAAGAGAAGAAGGCGGCGTACCCGATGTTAGTAGGGAGCACAGACGAGGAGGAGATGAGAGAGAACAAAGAGAGGTATAAGGCAGCTAGAAGGGAGGCGAAGTTGGCAGTCACAGAGGCTAAGACTACTGCATTTGGTCATCTATACGAGGAACTGGGGGACAAACGCAGGGATAAGAAGTTATCACGGCTGGCCAAGGCTAAAGAGAAGAAGGCTCGGGATCTGGACCAAGTGAGGCGCATCAGAGATGAGGACGGTAGAGTATTGGTGGGAGAGGCACATATTAAGAGGAGATGGCAGACTTACTTTCATAACCTTCTGAATGAAGATGGTGATAGGGATATTGTGCTAGGTGAACTGGGGCATTCCAAGAGTCACCGAGACTTTAGGTAATGTAGATGCATTAGGATTGTGGAGGTCTTGGGGGCTATGCGTAAGATGAGTAAGGGTAGAGCGATCGGACCAGATGAAATTCCGGTAGAATTTTGGAGGAGTATGGGTAGAGTAGGCTTGGAGTGGCTGACTGGGCTATTCAATGTTGTTTTCAGGACGAAGAGGATGTTGGATGAGTGGAGGTGGAGTACGGTGGTACCGTTGTGCAAGAACAAAGGCGATATCCAGAGTTGTAACAACTATAGGGGTATCAAGTTACTACGTCATACCATGAAAGTTTGGGAGAGGGTAGTAGAAGCAGGGGTGAGGAGGATTGTGTCTATATCCGACAACCAGTTCAGGTTCATGCTGGGTCGTTCAACTACGAAAGATATCCACCTTATTAGGAGGTTGGTGGAACAATGTAAGTATAGGAAGAAGGATCTGCACATGGTGTTTATTGACCTGCAGAAAGCGTATGACAAGGTACCTAGGGAGGTTCTTTGGAGATGCATGGAGGCGAAACGTGTGTCGGTTGCTTACATTATGGCTATTAAGGACATGTATGATGGATCTAAGACTCGGGTTATGACAGTGGGAGGCGACTCAGATCTTTTTCCAGTTATTATGGGGTTGCATCAAGGATCTGTGCTCAACGCATTTTTATTTGCCCTGGTGATGGAAGCACCGACACACCATATTCAAGGGGAGGTGCCATAGTGTATGTTATTCACTCATGACATAGTTCTGATTGATGAGACGTGAGGAGGCGTTAAAGAGAGGTTGGAGGTTTGGAGACTGGCCCTTGAGTCTAAGGGTTTCAAGTTGAGCAGGACTAAGACAGAATACCTAGAGTGCAAGTTCTGCACCGAGTCGAGGGAAGCGGGTATGGACGTGAGGCTTGAATCACAGGTCATCCCCAAGAGAAGTAGTTTCAAGTACCTTGGGTTGGTTATCCAAGGGGATAGAGAGATCGATGAGGATGTCGCGCACCGTATAGGGGTGGAGGTAGATGAAATGGAAGTTAGTATCTAGAGTCCTATGTGACAAAAAAGTGCCACTGATGCTCAAAGGTAAGTTCTATAGAATGATGGTTAGACCAACCATGTTGTATGGGGCAGTGTGTTGGCCGGTTAAGAACTCACATATCCAAAAGATGAAAGTAGCAGAAGTGGGGATGTTGAGGTGGATGTGTGGGTACACTAGGATGGATAACATTAGGAATGAAGATACTCGGCAGAAAGTGGGCGTAGCTCATATGGATGACAAGATGTGGGAAGCAAGACTCAGATGGTTCGGGCACGTGCATAGGAGAAGCCCGGATGCCCCAGTTAGGAGATGTGAGCATTAGCTTTGGTGAGTACGAGAAGTGGTAGAGGACGTCCAAAGAAATATTGGGGAGAGGTGATCGGGCAGATCATGGTGAGGCTTTAGATTTCCGAGGAAATGGCCCTTGATAGGAAGGTGTGGAGGTCGAGCATTAGGGTTGTAGATTAGGAGGTAGTGGATCACTGTTTACTTCGTTCTGGGTGTGAGGCTAGTCTGATAGGGTTGTGTCCTAGACTGCTAGTGGTTATTGTTATGTCCATACTATTCTTCCACTTTTCATAGTATCAAGCCTTACTTACGTGTTATTCTTATTGCTTTCCATCTATTTTCTGGTACTTATGATGATGTTAGTATTTCTATGGTTTCTGTTGATGGTACTGATATTGTATAGTTCAAAATATGTCTATAAAATATTTTGTCCAAAATAGTATTAGGGAGGAGCTCTCAAGTTGGCGTTTATTGAAATAGCCCAAGGAACAACGACGTCCACAGTCGAAGAGTCAACGAGAGTCGTAGTCGAGGTGTCAACAAGAGCCGAGACGGAGGTCGAGCATCGTTGACTAAACTGTAACGGCTAGTTTTCAAGATAGGATATTAAAGAGAATATTCTAGTGGATATTCTCTACACTTGTACTGTGAGGGTTTCATAGTAACATGTCCCATATAAATAGAAAAAGATACCATGATAGGGGACGTGTGACATTCATTTGTAAAGATACACACTTTGACTTGAGAAAGAGAATCAGATCCCACTTGCTAAGATACAAACATCACCTTTTCACTAAGATTCTTATCTATAGTTTTCCACAAGATCCGAGAATAATTAAAATATTCAAGGGATTGCCTATCACTCTTCATTGTCAGAAGGAACATCCACTTATTCCATTATTTCTTGGGTGAATCATTCCTTTTGTTTACGTAAATGCCATTTATTGTTATTTATTATCATTGAATACTATATTATTGCTCACGATTTCCCGAACATTTATTGCATAATACTCCCACTGTTCGTCCTGATCCACGCAATTTATCGCTTCTTTAAGAAATCCATCTAAGGATATTATCGTTAGATAAGATTAACCCTTATTCACATAAATTTAATTATTCCAACCAAGATTTATATTTTTCGGTCAAATAATTTGGCGCCGTCTAAGGGAATTTCTTAGTTAAAATTTTGGTTTCCTCTAGATCTACAATTGACACAGGTCACTAATGTTAAAAAATCCAAGATCTCCTTTCTTTGTGTATACAAAACCCTACATGGCAGGTAACCAAGAAGAAAGGACAAGAATAGCAAGTGATTTCCCAATCAACCTCATGAATGTGATCAATGAAAGTTGTGAAACGGCAGGTGAGGACACGACCCCCAGTGCGTCCCCTAGGCAAGAGGGGTCACCGCACCCACACTAAAGCATAACAAAACCCCGTGGTAAAGGGACCTCCACGTTTGTAGACCAATGGACGCCCCCAGTTGTGAAAAAAATCCTCGAGGCGTGGCTAACTGACACGCTAACAAGCGTCCTCAACAAACCTGCTCCAGGCACGGCTGCAAAAATCACAAGGACGTGCACGATACAACAAACAGACGAGCAGTGCAACCGACTCCTCCGCCCAACAGGTATAACTCACAATGTTATTGATAGTGCAGGTGACAACGCCCTCGCCTCCATTCTAAAAAGGATGGAAGAAATGGAGAATAAAAATAAGGCACTCCGAGAACAGATGAAAGAGCACTAAGAGCGAGTTGACAAGATATCGGGCGCCCCTAAGCTGCTACCGAAGAGGGACGCTATACAACGACGACGCAGCCCCACATGCCATACCAAAAACCTTCAAAATGCCGCCCTACCTCAGGATATATGACGGAACGACCGATCCCGAAGACCGTGTGACTCACTGTGTCACCGTCGTGAAAGGCAACGACCTCACCAAGGAACAAGTATCCTCTATTTTGCTGAAAAAGTTCGGCGAAACCCTCACGGGGGAGGGGGAAGGGGGCATGAAAATGGTATTTACAGCTACCAGCCCCTCCATGGAAACTTTCGAAGAAATGGCCGATAAGTTCGTAATTGCCCATGCCGGAGCCAAGAAGACCGAGGCGAGAGTAAACGACATATCTGCTGTTAGGCAGTCATTAGGAGAGGGGCTGAGGGAATTCCTCGCCCTGTTCAACTGAGTAAGGACGACTGCCAAATGTATCTGAAGCGATGGCGGTCACAGCCTTTCCCAACGGGCTGAGTAGAGATGGTTCAAGAGCAACTAGAAAACTGTTGAGTCGGTTGATGAAATATCCCCCAACCACTTGGGACGAAATCCACAATGCTTATTGTGCCGAGGTCCGAGCAGATGAGGACGACCTCAATGGGCCAACTCACCAACTAACCTCGATACAAGCTGATCTACGAAATATTGAAAAGACAGCGCCATAAAAGATCATCCAATTTTGCGACCTAACAGGGAGCGGCATCAACCATATATTACGATGGCCGTTGCACCCTCCTCCCGCTACGAAGAACGCCCGTCCAAACCAAGGACGGGAACTCATCGGAACAAAAGAGGTATGCATCCCTTATTATCTTCTCCAATTTTTGTGTGTCACCTATATAGATAGTCTATGCTTTGGAGAAGCTTGGACCAAAGGTGAAGTGGCCGCCGAAGATGAGATCGGACCCGAACACCAAAAAATCCCATGCCCTCTGTGCGTTCCACATGGAACGAGAGCATAAAATTGAAGATTTCATTGCCCTCAGACAAGAAGTCGTAAACATGTTGCAACAAGGGCACCTCAAAGAGCTGCCAAGCGACAGGGGAAGAACCAATTTCCCTAAAGAACACAAACTCCAAGGACCGCCAAAGCTGCCCTCACCAGCTCGTACCATCATCATGATTATCGCAGCGGTGATGATGCCTCTATCGACAGCGTGAAGTTCACCACTACGCACAAACCCAAGCGATCTGTCACCCACAAATGGTATAATGAACTCGAAGAAAGTATCATCTTTGATAAGTCGGAAGCCGACGGTTTGACTTTTCCTCATAAAGACGCCCTCGTTATTACTTTACAAATTTTAGATACCGATGTTAAACGTATTATGGTAGATGACGGGAGAGGCATGTGCA